TAGCTTTTTTTCTTTTATGAGTGAGATTGATTGATTGTATGGGTTCCCAATTCCCTTTGTGTGTAGCGGGACATTACACAGCCTGTCCATGTACTTTCTATTTTGTTTCAATAAAAGTGTTTATTTTTAAAAATGATACGTAGTAATTGTTTTAAACAGGGGTCATTTGATTGTTGTCTAAAGTTTCGCCCAAAATTACGAAAGTAACGTTAGATGGCGTACACATATTTATTGTAGTGAAGGTTATCGTGTCTTTGAACTTTAAAAAAAGTTTGAGACTTAATAGCTAAACTACCGTTTAAAGAGAGTATTCTTAACTTATTATAAACAATCATATGACACAGACAATTAGTAATAGATTACTATATCTCATAATTTTAAAAACAGTTCTATGCTTACTATCCACACCACTCTTTAAAAGAGTTTTCTTAACTTATTCTAGACAATTGTGAAAAAAAACCCGTGTGACACAGACTACTAGTAATACATTACCGTTTTTCATAACTTTAAAAAAAGTTCTAGGCTTTATAGCCCGACTATTGTTTAAAATTAGTATTCTTAATTTATTATAGACAACAGTGGCAACAAAAACCATATTTTGATATGACACAGACAACTACTAATAGATTACCGTTTCTATGAACTTTAAAAACAGTTGTTGGCTAAGTATCTAGACTATTGTAAAGAAAGAGTATTGTATTCTTATTATAAACAATAGTGCTAAAAATACTATATGACACAGACAAGTAGCAATAGATTATTGTTTCTCATTACTTTAAAAACAGTTCTAGACTGAATAACTAGACTACTATTTAAAAAGAGTATTCTTAACTTATTATTGACAACTGTGATAACAAAAACTGTATTTTGATATGACACAAACAACTAATATTACAATACTGTTTCTCGAAACTTTAAAAATAGTTTTAAGCATAGTAGCTAGACTACTACTTTTGTAGCCAACAACAACAAACAGTAGTTTGATTTTTTTAACTACTGTTTTTCCATAAATAGTAGTTAATCAATAGTTGTCTGACACCTTTTTTGGCGTAGTGAGTCTTCGATAGAAGGAGTCCTTTGTTGGTCGTGGTAGCACAAGATGTACGAGGCTAGATACTTGTGGGAATTTGATGTGAACTGCCCAGGAGGAACTTTCCAAGTAGTGCAGATGTCTTGGATGAAGGGATGGAGTGGTAATATGAACCCAGCTAGAACTGAGGCCCCGTTCCGTTTAACTTATTTTTTTTTGCTTTTCTCTTATTCTTATAAAATTAGATTAGATCAAATCAAATCAGACTAGATCAGATATAATTCGATCAGATCAGCTCACATCTAATAAGATCACATCAGATCCAATCAGATTATATGAGATCTAATCAGATCAGACTAGATCAGATCAAATCAAATCCAATCAAGAATTATTATTATTATTATTATTATTATTATTATTATCATCATCATCATCATCATCATCATCATCATCATCATTATCATTATCGTTATTACTCCATACTTTTTAAATTCCATACTTTTTACTTGTTTCACTTGATACGATTCTTTCAAAAAATAAATTTAATTTCTCTTGAAAAAAATATAAGAAGAAAATGAAACTTTTGTGCGATTATAATTAATATAGACAAAAGTAAAATGATATGAAGCACAATTTTTTCCTTAAAAAGAAAAAAGAATAAACCTTAGAAACAAGTTAAATAGAAAAATGAGAAAGTAATCATTAATATTAGATGTTGGAAAATTTATTTTTAAAATACATTGACAATGTCAATCTAATTTTACTTTTAAAATAAATTTTTATTGATACCTTTAATTTGAGTTTCTAAAGTTATTACATTATAAAATATGAATGAAAAAATACTATTACATTATAATATGAATGATTATTCTAATATAGGAATTAAATAATTTTATTTCATTAAAAAATAATCATAAAATAAAAAATATTGATTACTCCCTCCGTCTCGGAGTATTCGTCGAGTTTTGACTTTTGGAACTGTTCATCTAAGCACTTTGACTCATCAAATTCTCTTAATGTGTAAGCCTAAATATAGTCATGTGTGATCTTGTTTGATTTGTCTTAACATATAGATTATTAATATATAATTTCTACAATTTTTTAATATACAAATTACAAGATAAAATAGATTAAAGAAGTGTGTAGATGGTGTGTAAAAATAAAAGTAGACAAATACTCTGAGACGGAGGTTGTATATTATAATATGAATCATCATTACAATTTTTCAAAAGTTATTATAATGTCAGATCAAATTATTGATTTGAATTTTAAATCTAATCATAAATAATCAGATGAGATTGGATTCGATGAAATTTAATCAGATTAGATCCGATCCAATCGTATCAGATCAGATCCAATCAGATTAGACCAGATTAGATCAGATCCGATCATATCAAATCAAATCAAATCCAACCAGATTAGATCAGAACTATAAATAATTAGATCGGATTTGAAAAAATAAATTGAACGAAGCAAAGCTTGAGTCATAATGTATCACAAGAAAGCGATGCGGTTCAAGCTTCGAGATGAGGCTAATGCCAACCACAGCATCTGGGTGGTGAACCCTGAATGGGTTGCCCAGAAGATCGCACATGAGAGCGAGCTCCGATTCTTTGATTGTGAAAGTGTAACGCCCTCAAACCGGCCTAGTTTTAAATAAATAAATATTATTGAGACTCATTATTTTAATTAATAAATATTGAGATTTCGATCTGTTCAAATGATTTCCAAAGCTAATGTATTTTAATTATTATAAAAGATGTTTTAATAACGGGTCTCTCGACATTAATTAAGTAAATAAAATAATTAATGATTGGGATCGATCCAGAAGTTTGAAAACAAAGTTTTGAGAAAATTATTTTGAAGATATCATAAATTTAGTTTTGACTATCTGATTCCGGAAACGCAAACTGTTCGCAATTCGGACCCGTTCGGGGGAAAAACCGCGTACCGTTCAGGTCAGATTTTACAAAACGGAATGAATTAATGAGAGATAACTCCCCATTTAATCATTCCTCACGCCACAACCTCACCACACCATTCATTCCCATTAAACTCCTTCATTATGTCTCCATTATTTTTCTTTAATAAAAAACTCCCTTCCCTCTTCATTTCCCTCATCACTCTTGTAACTCCCACAAGCCATAACACCCATCCATTTCCTCTTCCCTTTGCATTTTCGGCCAACCCTCAACAGCCAGGCGAGGAGGTTTCCGGCGAGGGAAAGAAGAAGGAAGAAGAGAAGGAAGTTCACGCGAGAGGTCGTTCGTTCATCGTTCATTGCCGTCGTTCGTCCATCTCGTCTCATCGTTTCATCAAACCCTTCGTTTAGAGGTGAGTAGTTGTCCCCTCTAATTCTAGAACATCAAGTTATAATCTATGTCGTTATATTCATAGGAATATCGTACGCAACCTACGTAGAATCTATGCATGTTCGTAGGTTAGCCATTAAAACGTTACTATGTAAAACATATATATATATATATATATATATATAT